AAAATGGGGCCAGCAGGTCAGATTCAATAATTTCCTTAAATACATTAGTGGCTGTTGATATTTAACAATGGCAACGCGAGGCCAAAAAAAATAAATGTAGAAAACAAATCAAATAAACAAGGGCAGACAAAAATTTTCGAATCGCAAATCTCTGACGCCACAGAAACAAGTTAAGGCAATAACACAAAACATGATCGACGCAATATAAACTAATTGAAAAAAAACTGTGCTCTCCTAGCGGCGTCACTGTTACTGAGATACCCTAGAATTCTAGGGTATCTCGGTTTTAAAAGACATCTTTAAAAACTATTAAATGATTTTAAGGGAATAAGGAGGATTTTGTTCACTACGCAAGCACAAAAACCTTAAAAAGCAACAAAATCTTTACGAAAGTATTAATTTTTATTTTATGAAAAAATTGAATAAAAAATATTTGTATTATATACATTTGTTTGTATTTGAGTCAAACGCAAATTTTGGATACCTATCTAAAGTTTTAAGATTAGTTTTAGGTATTTAATAGTCGCTAGCTTAAGCCTAAGCCTTTCAAATGCATGAGAAATAAATTACCATAATTTTTCACTATCAGGCGCAATAAAATTGTTCGTTTTGTATGTATAAAAACACAAAAACAAATAAAATACGAAAGCCCAAACCGAACAATAGACAACAAGCCAAAGAAAGAAAAGCTACTCACCGCAAATCAACAAAAAAAAAACGAAAGCAAAAATATGATTATGTTCTTTGGAATTTATGGCTCTTTTAAAGTTTACAATATTTATGTATTATAAATTTTACACGAAAACACAAAGGAAAAACTATAGAACATAAAACACTTTGATCTGGGCAATGCAGTATTTGTTTGTATCCGAACATTCGTCTTTTTGTTTTGTGTTTTGATGCGGTTTTTTCCAGTTAAATAAATTGTAATCAGTTTACTGGAATGCGAATTAGGGGAAATAGTTTTAAACACTTAGTCGGTGATTCAAAATTTATATGGCGGATATATCAGATTTATTGAGATTTATTGAGATTTTTTCTGATTTTTTTTTTTTTGGAACCGAACGCGGCAGCGGACAAAAACAAAATGCAGGGCAACGAGAGAGAAAATCAAGAAACATATTAAGAAGAAGCGGCAGCCGATCCAAAAAGCAGGCAAAGATAAACAAAAGTTATGAGTTGGAAATAAACCAAAAATTTTGATGTTTCTCAATGAGCACGCGTGCCTTGTTTTTATTTTTTTTTATTTTTACATAGTTTTCATTACGTTTCCTTATGGTGCACATTTTTTTCCAAATCTGTTGGTTTATTTTTAGCTGGAATTTTTCAATGAAAGAAGAAGCACAGCAACTACTCCAATTTTCTTGGGTGGCCGCTCTTAAGAATTTTTATTTTACTCAATTTCTCCAAGCTGCATTTTCTCGTAAAGAGAAAGCTAACAAAAACGAAGAAAGTTATACAGTCAAATATCCCTAGTTTGAACAATCTACAAAAAATTATTGATGTGAATTAAGGTTAAGGTATAACTTTAAATAATGTAATTATTATTTTATAAGCAATTTTTGTATTTATTATTTATTTAATTAATTTTAATCTGCTAATTTAAAAAGGAAAACATTTAAGTAGTCTTAAAATTTTGATTTTAAAAAATGTATTCACAGTGAATAAAATTTTGTAATTTTTAAAGCCAAAAGTTCAACATACGGACTAAAGATTGTTCGCAAAAAGTGGCTCGCAAGTGCAAAGAAAATTTCCTGAATTTTTTTTTATTTTTACTTTTTTTTTTTTTGGGTAATAAAAATTGATGGTCTGGTTTTTCGCTTCTGGTCGTAAATATTGTTCCTTTCTGTTGAAAAACATTTATGGAAATGTATAAAACATCTGGACACAAAGCCAAGAGCCAATCAAAGCCATTAATTAACCATAAATGACCACTAAGCGAAACTACCGAGCGGGAAAAGCTACGTGCTTTTCAATTTCCCATTAACGGGATCATCAAAATCGAGTTTTCTCCTTCGGGACAAAAAAAAAAAGAGAGTGGGCACTCTCTCTGCTGATATTTAAATCAGGAACTGGTATCTGGTGCTTCATTAGCATGCTCGTCACGTGTCTCTGTCAATGTCCTGCTTAGTCCTTGCCACTCTTTCTTGTCCGCTCTTCCCGTCTCCTTCTGCTGCATTGGGACCCATCAAATTATTCACTTTCCAAAAGTGCTGAGAAAGCAGCTTTTGATTTTTGGTTTTGTTTTTATTTTAAGGGTTTTGCAATTGTCCATATATTAATCATACGTCACGTGCGCCAAAGAAAACTATATTAAAAAAAAATTTATTTAATCGTGGATTTTTTTATGCTTACTATGATAGGTTTTATACGTTTTTAGCTTTATTTACAATCTATTAGCATAATAATTTTAGTTTTTAAATTTTTTATTCCTTCACAAATTTGTAATACATTTCGAAAAGTTTTTTTTTTAAAACCTTAAGTTATGTCAATTGAGTTGCATTTTTTGAACGTTTTTCCCGTCAGCACTGTTCCCGAAAGTGCATAAAATGGAAAAGAAATTGGGGGAGAAAGTGAACGAACCGACGATGGGCTGTCAACTGGCAATGTGTGGCCCATAGGAAGAAAGTGACAGAAGGTGAGAGAACGGAAAGGAGAAAAGGAAAATGGAGGGAAATTGCTGGACATCTGAGCATCATTAGATCAATGAAAGCGGGAGAGAAAGAGGAAGAGGGGGTGCATATGACACTCAAAATTGCGTTCGCAATATTTTGGAGGAATGTGTCAAACTGTCTTGCCTCCCTTTTACATCACTGCTCCCTCTCACTCTTTCGCTTGCATTTCCACAGCAAGGAAAATCATTTCCACAGTAAGTAAAATCATAAGAAAATGAAAGGAGACAAATTTAGCACACTCGACTTATTTGCCCATGAAAACGATTACATGGTGTTGGCTAACCCTTTAGTACAAAAAATGTCATGTTTTACGAACCATAACAATAAAATTATTATAAAACACAATCTACGTTAAAAATAATAGTAAACTATGATTAAAACAGATTAAAGAGAGATAAGATAAACTTAATTCCTACAAATTCAATTACACTTTCGGAAATATCTAGCTTTTTTTATTAATATTCTTAAGTTATTAATTATTTTATGCAAATACATTTTTTTTTTATTTCCGTATCATATTTTTGAATACATTTTCAATTATGGCCTTAAAGTTGCCATTAATAATACTAAGTAATGAGAATAACAGATTAAAAGCAATTTTCTACATTGTTTAATATATTCGGAAAATGTAACTATATTTTATTTATTTTCTTAATTATAAATTCTTTTATATTCGTGAGTATATGTACACATATCTCCCAACCATTGTTTTATGGGGTTAAATTGCCATTTTATCAATGGCGCATTTGCTCTTGTGTCCTTGCTGCCTTTTTGGCCAGGATTGTTGTTAAATGCTGCTGTTTCTGTCACAATAAGATGACTTGAGCTCGGGCATATTTCATGTGTCCGTTTCGCTACCGCCGAAATTCCGACCCAAATTCTCCATGCGGATTTGAATATTTAAATAAACTGCTCACTGACGTGCCGTTGCTGTAATTGTTGTTGTCACTCGCATTGCGGCTGTTTAATTGTCATTTCGTGTGCAGAAACCGAAATGCCAAATAAACACAAATTTACACAAGCGACCGATTGACGTGCATAAGTGTTTGTGAGTGAGATGAGCACAGTGGTGATGGGGAAAAGGTTATCGAATCATCATTAAAAAATGTTATATAACTTGTAACTCCTATTATATTTCATACTGATTATTGATTTAATAACAAGTAATTAATTGTAAAGCCCAAATTGAATTTGTATGACAACAACTTTTTTACATTTACACTTAAAGTTCGAAAATTATAAATTTAAATATCAATCATGAGTTCCAAAATGTATGTTTGAACAACTTGTATGTTTAACATAAAACTTAGCCTCTAAGCTTATTTTTAACTGAATTTTACGAGCTTTTTAAAAAATATATATATTTTTATATTATATACCTTCTTAAATGACTTTCACGTTAAATTTCAATAATTTATATAAATATGTTTAATCTTTTATCTTGTACTTTTAAACAATTAGCATATTTAACATAAAAAGTACAATTTAACTTAGTATTTAGCTTTAATTCCGAATGTATTGGACCAGCTTAATCTTAATCTATTTATATAAAAAATATTGTTAAATAAATATACTTTATTAGGCCAATTGTGCCAGTCGATCTGCATTTGTAATGGCAACCTTGAACCGCCAATTGTATTTTGCATGCTGCCAATTCGATTTGACCCGTGACTGTTGTCGGCCAGAATTGCAATCGCCGCTGGAGCATATCATTGTTAACTTGGCCAAATTATATCAGCCCGATGTGTTGGCGGTTTCGGCAGTTTCGACCGTTTTTGGTGTGTGTGTGTGTGCTGCTCGAAAATGAATTTTGCAAACGAAACACGCGAAAATGAATGTTCGCGCTTCAAAATGGGTAAAGTAAATGGCGAAAAATGTGTGAAATTGTCCACCTATATATGGGTTTATTATTGTTTGATTTGGCTTGTCTTTTTGGAGGTATATTTTTGGAAATAGGCTGAGAATTTATGGCGAGTGTAATATATTTTAAGCAAAATCTATTTACTAAACAATGTAATAAATATTCAAATGCATTTTTGTTATTGGAATTAAAATATTATTTGCTTTGAGTTTTTTTTAGTTATTTAAATACATAAAAATACTAAAATTTTTCGAAATTAAAAAAAAAAAATTTTGAAAATGTAGTTTAAATTCAAACCATATTTAACTTAAGTATTATTAAAGTAATATTTTCTACATTACTTAAAAAAATGCATGCTATTTAATATGCATTGTATTCAACATTTTAATTTAATTTTGTTTAATTTTATTTCAATAGTCAGATATTTACGTTTTCTATTTCTTTTTTATTTATCAGTGCTGTTGTTATTTTCTTGATTTTGGTAACTTTCGCCAAAAGTGCTCCAAAAAAAAACCCAGAAAGGCCAACAAATTTCCCCCAATGACCACATAAAAGGCCAACTGAAGATCTTCAATAGTGAGGACTCTGACCAGATCAGACTCGGCATTGGCCTCAAGGATGCTCAGTCGCATCTTAATGTCCACCTTGGATTGCTCGTCCTTGATCCATTTAACAATGAATCCCACGCTGAGCGCCCTTAACAGAAGAGCATTCACGGCATCTTCCCAGGGTGAATCGCGCGGCATTACATAAGAGATGGTATAATACTTGGGACACTCCGGCACAACCCAAATCTGGCGAAGCAATGTGAATCGCGAGGATTCGAGGACCAAGGAGGTATATCTGGAGACGCCAGCCTTGCTCCTGTACTTGGCCACCTCATCGATGACATCCGCCCGAAGATCTCGGTTCCAGGTGAGTTTATTATTGAGACTCGCGAATAATGGCGATGTTTCGCTAAAGAACAGGTCATCCGCCATCGAGGAGTATTTGTAGACCACCTTCAGGCCACTGTCATCCAGCTCCTGCATGGTATTGATGTCCTTGTAGTACAGCGGATGTATGTAAACGGTGGCCAAACTGGACTCGAAAATGGCGCCAAATATCACACTCACCAAGCAGAGCGACCCGATGAACATCCGCTCCGCATAGCTCGCTGGCAGGTGGCTCAAGTTGACCCGAACCCAAACCACCCAAGTGTCCACCACTATGCCCAATGCCTGGCCCCAAAGATGCTGATTGCCCACCCTGACTATCCTCAGTTTCAGGTTGATCACCCGAAATGTTAGCCAAATCAGAGCACAGGCAAAGGCGGTCAGAATGAAACCCAACCAAATGTCGTAGCCAACGGCGAAAATGGGTAATATCGATTGGGGTATACGCCTAGCCTTCGGCACATAGATGCACAGCTCATCGTCGTAGACGGCAACTGTGAAGTCCATGTACTGCTGCACCAGATAGTCCTTCACAAAGAATCCCGTCAGACAAATGTCCAGGCCATCGTTGATGATCGATCCTATGGCGCCATTATAGCTGCCATTTGTATTGCGTTCTCTGTCAAGAAAAAGTTGTGAAAAGGTTGTAAAATTAAATTAAATTAATTAACTAACTAATTTCTAAAATTGTAAACTCCAGTAAGAGTTATAAAAACTATTAGAGTTTCAAAATTACTTTTTTTAAGAAGTGCCCAAGAGTATGCAACAATATATTTTAAATCCGAAAAAGTTAATAAATGAATATCGTAATGACATTCTGTTTTTCACTGCATACTTATAGATATTTTGATAATTGATTTCAATGCCCAACATCTGGGGGAGCTACAGAAATCACAAGGTGTTTGAAACCTCTAAAAAAGGTGTATCAAAGTATGCAACAAATGTATTTAATATCTTAAGTTGTTTTATGTTTTTGTATTTTTGTTAGTGCATACTTTTGGACCCCTTTATAAGTGATTTCGAAATCCCAGAGATTTTTATGGCACCTCTGAATATACATATATTGTCCCAATTAGTTTATTAGTATGCAATAATATACTTAAGTCCAGAAAATTTGTAATGTTCATTACGATATACTACATACTTTTTTCACTGCAGACTTTTAGACAACTTTACAAATGTTTTTTACAATAGTTTTTTCTGTAGAATTTAAAAATAATTATTAAATGCATACATTTATAGAAAATAACATTTGTTAATTCACATTCAACTAAAACTTAAATTTAAAAGCAAAATGATTAAAGAAATATCAAAATTCCTCAAAAATATTACACGAAACTTACCCGAAATAATTTTTATCTGGCTGCTGTAGCAGCATGGTGAAATTGAGTCGGTCCCTGAGCATTTTGGCCACCAGAAAGTCCACGCCAGTGACACTTGTCAGCAGGCCCGTACTCTTATCGATTTCCGGCCGAGTGTACACGGACTTGAACATCTGAATCCGCAAGGGATAGCCATCCATGTCGTGGAAGAGTAGTTTGTCCAGGGACTCGGAGCCAAGATATCGCACCAAACGACCGAAGGCGGAATCGCGACGCTTGAATGGATCATAGATCCAAATACCCTTGCTGGTGAGAAAGAAGCGTTTGTAGATTTTGTGCAGCATCCACAACTGGCGGCAGCTGGCCTCCAAATCAAGTTGTTCCTCGCTGGATAAGTCCTCGACTTGATCTGCCAGGATATAGAAGAAAACACCAGCCTTCTGGTTGGGTGCAGCTGCTCCACGATTCGATATAAGTTGGCCCAAACTCATCACCAATACCAGATTATCCCGCCCAAAGGGATCGTACCTCCAATCCTGATTTTCCTCGTACGTGTGGATGCTCAAGGGCTTCTGCGATTGATGCAGGAACCACTGGACATAGGGATTTGCCTCATCCTGGTTTTGTTTACCCATCCGCAGCCAAAGATTCAGCTGAGGCAAATCCCTGATGGGTTCCGCCAGAAGTCCATCCAGTTGAATCCAATTTGCGGATTTGTCCAGCACAAGCAGCAGGAAAAGCGCTTCAAGCACCGCCATTCTATCGGGTTTTCCCGGCACAAATGACTCGAGAAGTTGGCCAGTATCCCAAGCAGTCCTAATTTATCCTTTCCTAACCTATATCCATAACTTCGCCAGCCAATTTCTGTTTTGACACCTGCAATTTTGTTTGTTTGCTTGCGCGCAATTAGAGAATCGTTATGTCTGTATTTCTTGAGTCCAACAGCTCCTAAGCAAACATCATTATTATACCCTGTAATTTGGGGCCTCATTCCCAAAGAAATCACTTAGGAACTCGTAACTTTGTTAATAGATTTATTGCAATAGAATAATATTTAAAAAAAAGTACATTCGAAATATGTCACATTTTAATTTATCTTAGCAATTATTTACAATAAGTTGTAAACTAAAAATAGAATAGAATATAATAAATTAACCATGATATGTAATGCCAAAAATTTTAATAATTTTAATATTAAAATAAAAGTGTCATCAAAATGTAATCATGTAGTTTTAAGCAAATATAAAATATTTGTGTATGTTTTATATGTGTTACATCGAATTTTATACCATACTTTAAGTTAAATTAAATTAATAATAATACATTTATAACAAAAATTAAGGATGTTTTTAATTTTTTTGTTAACGTGCCTTAATAAAGGATATCATTTCATTATTATGCCTTTCGTATCTATTACCAGTTTTTATTTTTTCATTTTGTATTGGAAATCCGTTGTTACTTCCATTCCTATTGTTGTGATTTTTCATTCAATGCCAAACCAAGTCGACTGGCCTAAAGGAAAAGCCAAGGGAAACTCGATGGCGATTTTTTTCCCAGCGAGATTTTCCGCTGGTCAAGTTAAGCGGTGCGATAAAAAACGCAGTGGTGATATTTCATAGGTTTATCACAATTATCAGTTTATATTTTGAAATTTAATTGCTGGTTTCTAAAACAAAAAGAAGCGGAATAATATTGTTCTACTGAAAATATGTATATCAAAATGTAATTATGACTATTTCAAGAACTTAAATATATTTTACAATCCTACACGGCTTACTATATTTTAAAAGGATTTATATCTTATATTAAAAGATTAAAATTATTATTGATTCTAACTTTTTAACTGAATGTTAAGTTAATGTTGCTTTAAATATCTCAATGATGAAAACACATATTTTCACCTTTCACCACTGTGCTCCTAAAAAAGTTTCGGGTTCAGTTCACCGTTTCCTTTTTCGAATTCAGGTCTCCTTTCATAGCCATAGCCATAGGTATTCAGACCATGTATATGGACTATAGACGAGTGCCCGCTGTCCGATAAACGCCGAGTGGCGAGTGCAGCAACAAAAACCATCAATAAACTTCGCCCTGTGTAGTTTTGAAAATGAAAAATAAATTGGAAAATTGAAAAAGCAATTCATCGCATTAGGAACGTGCACTGAATGCCGTGGAGGACGGAGAGGAGGCATGTCCCGTCCCGGGGCGGATGTTTTGATACCCGCCCTCCACCGCCGACGAAGACCCAATTGACAATGCGAGTTTTTATCGTCTTTGTGCCAGGTGCGTCGACTAGACAATGGACACAATGGAGGCGAGACGGTACGAAGCGAGTCCTTGTCCAGGACTCCATCTCACGTTCCGCCGTTTCAGGACTTTTACTTATGTCCAGTGTTGCCGACACTGCTAATTTCCCGTCAAATGTGGCAATTCACCAGGGTCGCGAAAGGGAAACTTTTCGGTTTCGTCCTCGTTTCTGACCAAATAATGTTAGGAATGAGGATAAACAGCAATTCAGAAATCTATTTCTATAGATGCCACAGAAAGTACAACGGATTTTAAGTACATTTTAAAGGTGTCTAAAAGTATGCAATGAAAATTGGAAAAGTCGACTTTTGCAATAAATCTATTGAAGTTTGGGTGTACAAAAATATTGTACAGTAAACATTGCATACTTTTGGACACCTTTAGTAGGGACTTAAGCCAAGTGATTTCTGTAGTACCCCTGTTAAGATATTAGTTTTACACTAATGGAAAGCTTAGAAATATTTTTCCTATATATAATTAAAAGAGTAATCAAAAATGCAAAATTTAGGATCTATTTTTGACCAACAATTACGATTCGTATTATTGCCGGCTGCAGTTTCCATATTTCTCCATCATCTCCCCTGCGTTTTCCTTCTCATTTCTGAAATTCCAGGACCGCGTACTGCACAAACGAGCTGAGCTTTAATGGCCACGCGATAAAATCAAATTGAAGTTCTTTTCCGACACTTACAAAGGAGTGAAAGGGAAAAGGAAAGTGGGTGCAACGTTTCACTCGCAGCGTTGGGAAGTACCTAGGTAATTGTGCCAAAATATTACGAAATATAACTTAAAAAATTTAAAACCAAAGAGTTTACTTGCTTATGAGACACATAAATTATAATTACGTTTTCTATGTAAATTGAATATTTTGCTTTGAGTAGCTGTTTATATAAGTACTTAAGAAAGAGCAGCGATATTATAATATTTCCAAATTTTGTTTGCACTTAAAGTTTAATTGTATATTTTTGTAAATATTGACAAAAATAGTGTACCTTCCCTGTGGTCGCAAAAAAAAAGTACCTTTCGCCACACTGATGACGTTGCGGCCATTGTGTGCACTTGAGTGAGAGTGAGTGAGAGAGCGAATAAGAGTGAGACGTGCGTAGGCAAGGGGCAGTGGAAAGTTGGAAAATGCGGGGAAAATCCAAGGAAAACTGCAGCGATGAAATCATTTGTAACCTGGCACGTGAAAATGAAATTTTTGAGCGAACATCAGCTTGAAATTCGATTGGCCATTGTGGCGAAATGCGTTGTATACCTTCGTTTTAACATTCATTTTATTTGCTTCCTGCAATTTTCCTTGATGTTCTACTATTTAAAAAATTCGTTTATCCACAAATATCCAGCGACTTGTAAGATACCTTTAAAAGGATAAAAAAAAATGTACTTATGGTTATGAGGCTAATTGCATTTTTAAGTCTCATCTGTTTTATGTTTTAACCATCAATTATTTTTAATTACTTTGAGCAAATAAAGTTATCTTTCCTTCACTTGCGTCGTTAAAAAATAGTATTTTCAAATAGCTGCGTATTTCGTGGCTCTTAAAGTTAATATCCAGCCAGAAGTATCCCGTTTTGGTAGCCCCACTAAATTTAGCCACAATCTCTTGCCACACCCCTTTTAGGGCCATTACTTCCATTGCATTTGCTGCTTTTGGCAACGCAAATTGTTCGCAGGCGAGGAAGAAAGGAAAATAACGTAAAACGGGGCAAGCAAAGTGCAATCATGTTGGATCAAATGAACTGAACTTAACCAAGTCGAAATGGGTGCAGTGCATTGGCCCAATTCCGATGGGATTACCTCCAACTGGGCAAAGAAATCCTCGAGACTGCCCAAGCGTTAAATGCAGGATAAATATTGCCAAAATGGCCTTCAAATGTACTCTCAAGGTTTCTTTAATAAGTTCCGAGTTAAATTTTTTAAAGGAATATTGAGATATACGTTCAAATACCTTTAATTATTTTAAAATATTTTTACAATGTTGAATAGATATTTATTTTTAAGTGGTTTTTAGTTTACTCAAGCAAAATAGAGTAGTAGTCAAAAAGAAAACGCGTTGTTAACTATTTAAAATAATTAACAAAAGAATTTTATGTTTACAATGTCCGTATAGTTTTGAGCATGTTTCAAATTTTTGAATATATATTTTTTAAGTTTTGTGAGCTCTTGTCTCATGAATAATTAAATTTTTAAGTAAACGAGTACTCCGGAAAATGTTGTCATATGTTTAGGGACATTGCTGGATTTGCTGAATCATTTAAGTTTTTGAGTTCTTAAATATTATGCTGAAATTTTTTAAGTAAATGAGAACACACATATTGATCTTAATTTTTCATAATTTTTATTTAAAAATTTAATAATATGCTTAGGGTAACACTAAATATAGTCAACAAGAAAAAAAAAAAAAGTGGTGTGGCTAATGCTGGACTAGTCAGGGATCCGTTCCTATCAGGGTGTGTGTTTTGTGGTTAGTCAGTGCTCCATCTCCAGGCCGAAGGTGGTGCGCATCCGCTCGAGGGCCGAGGCGGGGAAGCCCCGGTCGAGCAGCTGCCGCTCCGCCTGCGCGATCACATCCCGCATCGTGTTCAACATCACGGCGCTCTTCTTCAGCTGCCCGCTGACGAACTTGTGCCGGAAGCGCAGCTTGGCCTTCTTGATCTTGTTGTTGTAGCGCGACTTGCGGCACGACTCTGCCCGCTGACGCTGTGCGTCCTTGGCCTCCTTGACATCCGATCGATCTGAGCCGGAACCCGAATTGGATCCTTGGTCCACGACTATCTCCGATTTGAGGGGCGGCGGTGCTCGGCGTTCGACCACAATGGGATTCTCGAGGAGCATCTGGTCCACGTAGCGCTGCTCCTCGTCGGCGTAATGCATCTTCAGATGATGCAGCTGCTGTGACACCAGCTCCTCGATGTGTTCCGGCTTCGATGACGATGATAATGGTGATGTTGTGGCGGGTGAACTGATCCCGTTATACGGGGCGTATACGTGACCCATGGTCGCGTAACTCAGGGTGGGCAAATAAAGATGACTCCGTTCCATGGCAATATGATGATGATACTGATGTAGTGTGCGTCTGCTCTCGTCGAACTTTGAAATGCTAATGCTGCCATTGCCCTATGGACAGCTCTATTTTATACCATCCCGCAGGTAGCTTAGCCATTGGGTGGCTACCTTTATGAATGGTCAGTGGGTTTTACGATCTTGTTTGTGCCGAATTTTCGGGGCACCGCCTACCTGTTTTCGGATTGGCCGACGAATCGCAGACATGTAAACAAAGGGATTAGTGGGGGGGGAACATATATATATATGGAAATAGGTACATCTACCTGACGATGGGACCAAACGAAGATCAAGTGTGACCAAAATGATTCACCCTGATTATTGGGATACTCCCTGGCTCAATGGTAATTCTATAAAGTACCTACAATTGGCATATGAGGGAATTATATTTACTTGAAAACAATGGTTTTTTATTAGGCTCTGTGTTTGGTTTGTTCTTATATTTTACAAAATTAATATATTTTCTTGTTAAATAAAAATTAAAAGCTGAAAAAATATTAAAAAATTGAAAAAATCCATTTTATTAGAATTTCAAAAATAGAATTTTAAATTCTACAACCACATTTAAATTCTATTTGTTTAAGAAAGGAAATATAAACATAAAATTCCTTTTACTATAAAATATAACAGTACTGTACTTTTTATTTGAAATTAAAGTATATTTTAAGTTTAAAATTTGTATAAATATGTAACACATTCTTCTTTACAAACAAAAAGGATTGAATAATTACAAGATAATAAACTGTAAATGAAAGTGTATTGAACCAATAGTATCAACAATGCTTAAAAATATATATTTGTTAAAGAAAAAGGCAATTTAAATGTAAATATAAATACACTTAATTTGTGCCCATTCAGTCTATGAAATCCATAACAGTCACAAGGTTAAGTTCAGCTGGTCTTTTATCGCCCAACGATTCCCTGATTTGGCTTATCTGACCTGGAAGTGTCAACAAATGTTGGGAATTTGTGGAAAATCAACCTGCTCTGGCAAATATACATCCGTCCAACTGGGGGATCAGCCGTCTTTATGAGATAAGGCCCAATCGAATGGCGTTCTACCTGCAATATTTGTTATTTATCTGCTCCGGTTAAAATCCATCCATGTGCGTGGTTTTCCCTACCAGGTAGCCATTTTTACTGGCGTCAATTTCGGTAGGGACACAAACAAGTTACGGCTTGTAGCAGGCAGTGAGGGGGGTGGGATTTACCCATAAATCCGACGGCAGCTAGTGTAATAATTAATTTAACACCCCTCGAAATTATAAAAGGTTCAGCGACCTGCTAAAAAGGCATTAAAGGCTTAACGTCAAATTATGTCCACAATTCCTTTGAAAAACGGAGAAAAAGTATACAAGCAGTTTAAAGAGCAGTTTATTAGATGAACAAATGAAATATAAATTTGTATAAATTTTGACAATGGAATTCAATGAATTTACAGATTTAAGTTATATTTTGTATAGTAATTAAATTTATTTGGCCATCTTTAAATATAACATAACATAAAATAATAAACAAAAACTTTGCTGTACCTTAAAATAGTAATTGCAACTTTGTATTATACAAACTTCAAAGTACCATCTATTAAGATAATGACTTTTTAAATATATTACGAAAGTTGTAGAGTAAAAAGTTGTATCCATTTTAAATACCCAACTTGTTAATAGATACTTCGCTGGCAAAAATGCCACATGCCACACAATACTTTATTTGCCACCACATATGCCAACTCGAATTACATAACATAAATCTTTTAAATAACTCCACGGGGTAATTGACAAAACAATCGAGTATTTTTAGTGGCCGAAAGCAGTTTTAATTCGAAATTTCTCATTCAGCCAGATGGGGGCAAGCTGTCAGCGCCAGACGGCCAATAATTTTCAATTTTTCCACATTTTCCATTCACCATTAGACATTTGCCATGTGAACAATAAAATCGACGGCGCTGCGTTTGGGTGGCAAATGAGAAAATATACAGACAAGTATAATTAAAAAACCATTTATAATCATTTTCGACCAAATCCCAGTTGACCGGCCCCCACTATTTCCCCCAGAACCCCGCAGGAGCACTTGAAGCCTGACAATTTTCCAGCTGGAGGAGTGTTAAATAAAATAGAACAAGAAGTTGGGGTCTATTTTTGAATACCGAACTTCGGAACACCCTCGCAGTTTGACATGATTCTTATCTAAGCAAAAATTGTGCCTTAAAACTAATAAAAATAATATAATATAAAATATTGAATAGGTGATAATATATCTTAATATCTGGCTATGCCCAATAGAAATCGTACTACCCGCAGTAAAAGCACTATAAATCGAGGAGCCAGCGACCATAAATACACGCACATGAAGGAGACTTCGCCGCATCCCACATCCCCAAACGACATTGAGTTTGAATTATGTCAGCGCAGCAATAAATTGTCCAAGGCATTAAATTAAAATATATGTACAGAAGATATCGGTTAAGGGGAAACTGCAGGAAAGGCATTAGAAGAATATATAAATTTCAATTGCTTATTTCACTATTGTTGGTCAGAATAAATCGAATTATTTGGAATTATTCGATTTAACCATGTTTACTTTAAATTAAACAGTACCGCAAATAAAATTTGAAAATTTTGGTAAAAAGCTCAAAAAAGTAATGACATTTTTTAAGTTTTATACACAAGTTTAAAAAATAAAAAAACTGTGGATATGTCAAATACAATGCCCAATATTTATATGTATACGCCAGTATCAAATTTAGTTTGTTGTCAGGGATTTTGTTTTATTAATATGTATATACGAAATGTACTTATATTTTCCATGCAGTTATACTTATATTTATCTAATTGCAACTCTTAATTTAAATAAAAAAATTTTACATTTAGTTTTCCTCATATTTATCTACTGAACCTAAAAAATTCTGTAAGCAAACTCACATTAAGAATGTTATATAAGAACATTTATAAAAAAATTGATTTGATATTACTTAATTAATAATTAGTTAGTTAGTTAGTAAGGATCTTGTAAATATCCCTGATCAAAAAGGCTTATACACAAACAAATAGGAGAACAATAGGTTTTTTGGCTATATATAGTAATACAAAAATGATTAATTATTTAATAACCGACCTTTTAAAGCCCCTAGTTTGTGAGAGATATTTGACAGAACTTAATTTTGGCGCCTTGTCGTTTACAAAAGTCATTTTATTACAGCGGCTTTACAAAAGTTGAGCTTACATTTAAATATATTTCTGGCTTGAATTAAAAGGTATTTACATACTATGGAGAAACCACGCTGAATCTAAAATGGTACCTACGAAGCTACGTTGTGTGTGGTTGAATAGATCAGATATAATGGATCTATGTGGGATCTATCCGGAACAGCCACGACATCCGCAGTGGACGCACTCGACGATGCGACCCTCCTCCAGCTTGGACTTGGGCACGCGGCAGATGCAGTTCGTCCCGAAATTGGTGTCCCTTGTTTGGATGCAGCGCAGGCAGCAGAGGTTCTCGTATCCTGATTTCTTCCACTTGGCTATTAGATTGCCATCGGCGATCTTCTCCTTTAGACAATAGTCGTACAGTTCCCGGCTAATGGCCTTCCGGCGATAGAAAAGATCGTATATGTATCGCGTCTTCTGGTGGTGGATCTTGAAAATGGGCCACAATGATTCCGTAATACGTTTGCCCTCGTGCGGTTCCGTTTCGGCTGTTCGAGGACAGATACATTTTATAGTTAAACATACTTTTCCAGAGAAGCCACGCTTGTTTTACCCTCGCGCATTTTTTGCTCCAGTTCCTCGAGTGTCGGTTCGATCAGTTCCCAGCCATCTGGTGGAGGTTTCCGACTGCGGCGCACCTTGGGCATCTTAAATATGCTTATTTATAACTTTAAAACTTTTAAACTTCTCTTTTAAAGACTAAATTACGAAGAAATTGTTTCAAAACTTAATTCCTGAACAGCTGTGACTTGGCGATGACACTTGCCGCAAGTGTTGGCTAATGTTACACATTCATATCGAGTGCCGATTATCGATAGTCTTGGCCCAAACCGATAGCAGTTAATTGTTTTTGTTGTTTTCCTTTTTGGAGACGCGTGTGTGTGTTTTGCCCGTGTGATAATTTATTTATTTTCCCGTTCCGTTTGTTTATGCACTATAATTTAAGTTAAGTTTTTAGCACAGGCGCAGGAGTAAGTAAAATATTGTGAAACAAGGGAGAAACAATTAAATAGTAAAAGTGAATGCGCAAAAGTGCTGTGACCGTGTGTGTGTGCGTGAGTGTGTAACACTTTAAAAATTGTTTAAAAACCAAGACGTTCATTCATAAAAATACAACAACAAAAAGTGGGGTGGCACGAAAATGGGGGCAAAGAGAAAGATGAAGAGGAGAGAAGAAGGAGCAGCAATAACAACAACAACCATATTTTAACCTTCGCCAATTGGCAGCTCCATCTCGCTCGTACACGCATACTCGCGCAATCAGCGCCCACATAACGGACCTACGCTTTGGTTTTACTTTTCATTTTTTGTTACTTGTCTTTTTATTGTGTTTTGTGCAATTCTCCCTTTATTTCGAGTGCTTGGCACAACAAATAACGAAATAAACTAAACTATTAAATTACCCACACAACTGCAATCGCATATCCACCCCCCATTTTCCACTGTGTTTGTGTGAGTGTAATGAGCGCAACAAATCAGTTTTGTTTTGTTTTTTCGTATTGCACATTCCTCACCGTTTTTTTGTTCACTACATATCTAACAACAGTCACCGCCAATAAACAATATTCCCACTCCATTGTTTATCTTAAAATATGTAAGCCCAAAGACTTTCACACACTTATCGATAAGATAAATTTGAAAGCAAGTACAATTGCTCATAGACATTCTCACTAACTTAATAAAACAGCTGACGTCAAAATGATAGTGCTAAAAAGTTTTCAGCTGTCTTATTTCTCAGTGACTTTTTAAGTTTTTTAAATGGTGAACTTATTTGACATTCCTGTTGGGCGTAAATAATTGATTGAAGGACATTTCAGGTGGCTTTTTTCACAGAAAATTTGTTTAACTTTGTGTTGTTAAGTTTTTATGAAGGAAATTATAGGAACGAGTTATAAAACCAAAAAGAGTTCATAATTTATTAGTCATTGTTTTATTTACATTGGTTATTCTTCTTGATTGTGTTCTTAGCAATGCTTTACCCTCAGTTGTTTGGTTTCTGGCAAAATAACTATTATTTTGATCGTCATTGTTCCTGCACAACAAATAGCCGTTAATTGAGGCGCAAATATTTGTTGCTGTCTCCTCTCATTGGGGGTGGCATGTGCGAGGGAGTGGGACAGTGAATCGAGTGACAGGGCATTGGCTTCGTAATTGACGTCTGCCCTTGACCAAGGCCTAAAAACAAAAAAAGAAACAAAAGCCGCAACACTGAAACCGAAACCGTGATTACAAACAAAACCATTGTTCGTGCCACTTTTAAACCATTTCAACAGCGACCATCTTACGAATTTGTAGGACGTCTTTAAAATGCTCTCTCTCTCTCTCTTTCGCGCATACAAACAGTGTATATCGGATATAAATAACTACCATTGCTCACTCCAAAATGAAAATTATTAAAACCCATGAGTTTTTACTTTATTAATAAAGTTTTAATCAAGGGCTCGCTTTTTACAGAGCACTGTGTATTCAAAATATTGAAAATAATAAATTAACCTTTAGTTTAAAAGTAAGTTAAATCTAAAAACAAAATGTGTATATTGCTTTTTACAGAAAAATTAAAATTTTTAACGTCCCTGTCAGTTTATTTGGACTTACATTTAATATTTGCTAATATTTACGTTAAACATAGAGGTGCGTTATTACAAATAGTTCGCACCAACCAATATCTACTGTATTTAAGAGATACCAATTTGAGCTGAGCGCGTGTTACGGATTATCTTACGATCTCAGACGTCAAAGGTGCAAACAATGGGAAATAAGGTCAGGCTATAGGGACTTTCAGTACAATGAAGATCGTACACCACACCTAAATGAATTAATCACGATTTTGGCACACCCATCTCATCTCACCCACTTAGCAATGACTTAAATCGCTTTCCACAAAGAGTTTATATGGGTTTTGTTTTATTTTTAAGAACATCTTTGGGTGTACACCCATTTACTCAAAGCTATTAAAGTATAAGTATGTAAAATATACCGACTTCAACCGAGTCCAATCTCTGTACGAAACTTTAAAGCTTTCTGTCTATTTTAAAATCGATTTGATTTTAAATCCCAGTTGCCATCCATTAAGTGTTAAATATTTATATTCATCAATTAGCTGGCGCCCAGTCATTTAACTAGCTGACAGTTTGGGATCTATTAGAGACCAGTAACAAACTAATATCAAATGCCACACACAGTCCCATTAATAATACAAAGTAATTTAAATTGCGACATTGTGGCAGTATGGAGAAGGCAGTGGGAAATGGAAAAGTGATTGCAATTGAGAATAAAAAAAGATGCTAAATTCGCAGTTGAAATGACAGGGGAGACGGATTTATACAATAAAGACTTAATACAGATAACGATAACCCTTATATCTAAACTTACATTTTATTCAATTAAAACTTATAAATAAATGAGTGAAGTGGGGCAGATCAATGGCAGTTTTATTTCTGGAATTTTCTGGAATTATAAAAATTCATCTATTACGGAAACTGATAAAAGATTGAAATATTCCTCCATGCGGAAATAAATCCATGAAAATATGTATGTAGGTTAAAAGCAAAAATAGAAAATACTACGCATTTATTTAATATATGTACTTCTCTGTGTGTGGTGCAATTTGTCGAAACGAATTTTCTTTTAGAATTTATTAGCTAGCTAGATTAATGGTTATAAAATATATATATAATTAAAAAATTATACTTTGCATCCTTTTGTTTTTCAGCCAGCAACGGCTGCACCATGGAGCCCCCCGCTGCTGGTAATCTGCTGGAGATCATGGACCTGGCCCGCACCCTTCGCCAGGAACAGCTCTTCATCCAACAGGAACAGTTGGCCTTTGCCCAACTCACTGGGGCCTTGGAAACAAATGCAGGGACCATAACCAAGGTGGGCTTTTGATATTTAAAGAATTTAATTGATTGCAATATTTGAGCAATATTTGTGTTTTTACCTTCTCTCAGCTGGCCTTTGTGTGTGCCCAGCAGCGGCAGATCCTCAATGAGCTGCTCCTGGCGCGGACGGATCACGACCCACTGCTCTCCTGCCGCAGAGCAAGTGCCTACGACAGTGCCCAGTTCATGGACGCCAAGCAGTTGCTGCCCTATGAGGTGGGGATCGGGAAAAACTATTCAGGGATCTACGGAATAATTAATACGATTACAATCCCATTTTTAGCACGCCCTGGCCTACGAGGATCTGTTCAACTACCTGTATAATACACCCTATTTGCTGGCCCTTTCCCTGGCCACTGCGGATCGATTATCCCTGCTTTCGGCTGGTCAACTTGGCCAGATTATCAATACCATTGCCACGGGTCTCTATGGCAATGGCATCAACACCAAGGATGTGGAATTGCTGCTCAAACTGTTGCGCGAACTGATCGAGATCCAATTGCTGACCAGCGAACAGCCCAGGCGTTTGCTGAGGACCAATAGCAGCTCCTTTGCCCGCCTGTATCAGCGACTGGTGGAGAGCCTGTTCTCGGCGAGGATTTTCCTAACCGCCGCCCTGCACGCTCCGCTGATGGGTGTGCTAAGTGAGCACGAGATTTGGCTGGATCTGGATCCGCACAAGCTTATGCAGACCTTTACGCCGAAGGAGCGGGAGAAGCGCTTTGGTCGCGAAGGCGATGAGGAGTACCAGCGGAATGTGGCCCGTTTCCATGCGGAAACGCTGGGAAAACTGCACTCACATGTCCAGGTTTTTGTGCGGAGTCTCCAGCAGAGTTGGGCACTATTTCCCAGCTCTCTGCGATGGCTTCTCCAGACGCTTAGTCAGCAGCTCCGTCAGACGCTGCGCCACGAGGAGCAGGAAATCCGGCACTTGCTCACCGATCTGGTATTCACACACTTCATTTCACCAGCCATTGCCAGCGCCGATCTGCTGGGCATCATCGATGTGAATGTGAGCGATCGAATGCGACACAATCTCAATCAGATTGTGAGATTGCTGCAGCGACTGGCCCTGAACGATGAGGACAGCGAACTGGTGCAGCTGATGGAGCTGCTAATGCTGGGACAGACTGGCGAGGATGTGGTCGCCATACTGCCGCAACAAAGTGACTTTGAGCGCTCCCAATTGGCCATCAATCAAAGGGAACTGGCGCAGCTCGTGGAGTTCTTTCGTCTGCTAACTGCCAGAGAGGAGTACGATATATCCGCCGAGGAGAGACAACGATTGCAGAGGATTCTCAGCAGGATACCCAAACAGCAGCAGCACCAGCAGCCGCAGCAGACGTCGCAAGTGCCCCAGGATGTGGCCGATTCCCGCGAAAGTCCCGAGAAGAGCAAGAAAAGCAACAAGAGTCTGATGAGCCTGGGCAAGGCCACCAAAAAGAAGCTAGCCAAAGGCATGAGCTTTAGCAGTGGCAGCAGTAGCAACCACAACGCCCCGCTTCCAGTGGAGCCCCTTACCAATGGCCAGGCCAACACTTCGAATGGCAGCGGAGGATTGGGCGCCGATCTCGAGCAGTGTTCCTCGCACAGCGGCAGCAACACCAGTTTGAGTTCCTGCGGTGCCAACATTGCAACGACGACAACGACAACGAATGATCCATTGGACATGTTGTCTTGTTCCGATCCCGTGCTGATATTTAGTATTTACAATGCGGCGGCCAAAAGTAAACTAAAGCCATTGACGGAGGAGGAGGTCTTGAAGATGAACTGCATCGGTCAGGATGCGAGCAGTCTGCTGCCGGCGGTGGTCACCACCGCTCCCCTGGCGCCCTCCTCGAACAACGATGATGTGAGCAGTTTGGAGGCCATGCGGCGGCCACAGGATGATGCCTCGATAGGGAACTCGGACAATCTGGAGGCCATCAGCGAGGCGGCGCATTCGGTGGCCAGTTCGCTGGACCTGGAGGAGCAGCAAGAGCGAGATGTCCACGAGAACGAGGACAACCTGTCCGACATGGTTTCGGCGAACGTTTCGGGCCGGGGAACGCCCAATATCAGTGGCCGGGACACACCATCGTCGCAGGTGACCGATGGCGATGGCGCTGGCGGGGATTTGGCCCACCACCATGGCGTTCATGCCCGGGTGGCGGCCAATCCGCAAATGCAAAAGATGCTGCTCTCCAAGGCCAGATCCGACATCGAGGATAAGTTCTGCAAGTTCGAGCTGAAAAAATTCGAGGGGGACGAGAATGTGAGCATCATTTCGGACACTTGGTCCACGGATGTGCTGGCCTCGGACTCGGAGAACACGCTGGACGCCACGGTCAGCGAGCGCGGCGGTGGCGGTGGCGGCGACAGGGACAGAAACTTCTCCACTCCCCTAATACCGTCCGCCGTCGTCCTGCCGGGCGACAATAACTTTGTGGTCGAGGCCTTGGCCCGTGCTGGTCGAGTACCGGGCGTCCATGGGCCCCAGTTGGATGCTTCGGACCAGCGATCGGAGAGCAACTGGAGCACCGATGTGCTGGCCAGCGATTCGGAGAAGTTGGCTGAGATTGATACGGACGATAATGTTTCCATCACAGCCAAATCGGATACAGCGGCACCGCCGGCTGCTGTGCTGGACGACGACGACGACGAGGATGAGGATGAGCAGACGCCGGGCAGCAGTGGCGATGGCGAACCCGATCCGGAACGTGGCAATGGCAGCGAGCGCAGCCAGGAGGACTCGGCCTTCTTCGATGCCGTCAACTCGTATGACGATGCCAATCTGTATCACGGAGCCTCTTCGCTGGCCCGAAGCTCGGTGCGGACCAGCTACCATGTGCTGGGCGGCGAGAGTAGCTTCCAGCAGCAGTACAAGTGCAGCGGGGCGGACTCCAGTGGCCGCAAGACCACTCCGCTGATGGGCACCTCCTGCATGCGTCGTCAAACGTCGGCGGAGAGCAGCATAAGCAATCAAAGCCTCAACCTGGAGGAACCACCGCCACCGCCCATGGGCAAGCACCATCATCACCATCGGGAGCACCATCATCGCGACCATCATCATCATCACCGCGAAAGGGAGCGAGAGCGGGAGAGGTCTGCGCTCAAGAAGAAGAAACACCAGCAGCAGGAGAAGGAGAAGGAGCATCGGGATCTGATTGATTTCAGCGACTGCAGCGAGGACAAGGAGGAGCTGGCAAGGAATAGGGAGGCGGAACAGCCACCGGGTTTGGTGCAGCAACTGCTGGACATGTTCAGCCAGGATGAACAGGCCGCAGGAGCTGGCAGTGCCTCATCCAACGTCGAACATCGACGCATCTCCATCGAGCAACGCTCAGCCATCATAGATGGCCGACGGAATGGCATCCTGGCGGGCAGTATGCGGCGCCACCAGAGCCTCAACTACGAGAACCACGAGATTATGCTGAACTCCATGTTGCCCAAAACCGATGATGACAAGCACGAGATGCTGCTATGTGTGCAGACCCAGCAATTGCAGCTCGATGAGCGCAGATCAGAAGCGGACGCATCCGGCGAAACAGCAGCAGCAGCAGCAGCAGTAGCAACAGCAGCTGTAGCAGCATCTGGAGGATCAGGGCTGAAGCCACCGACCAAGGCCACCGGGGCCATACCAAAGAGCATTAGTTTCGATGCCAGTGCGGACAAGGAGAAGCAGCCGTATCATCGGGAACGGGACAGGGACAGGGAGCGAGAACGCGATCGGGAGAGAGATCGCGAGCGTGACAGGGAGCGAGATCGAGATCGGGACAGGGAGCGAGATCGAGATCGGGAGCGGGATCACCACGGTGCTGGCATTTTCAACAAACTGAAGCAGGGCATCTTCAAGAATCGCCGGGGCACGAGTGCCAAGAGCAGCCAAGGCAACCCGACCAATCCTCCGGTGGCCAGCACATCCAGTGGCGGCCAAACGGATGGGCGCAGCGTTAGCTTCGATCCCAGTGCCGGATGCGACAATTTCGGCACCCACTACTGTGATACCAGCGAGGACATCCTGGCCAAGTACCGCCGCAAGGTGAGCAACTCCAGCGAGGACATCCTGGCCAAGTACCGCCGCAAGTTGAGCACCTCCAGCGAGGCCACCAACTCCGACTCCACGGGTGGCAATGGTCATGGTGGAGGTGGAGGTGGAGATGGAGGCGATGAAGGAGGGCAGGGTACTGACACCATTGGACCAGCTGCCCATCTACACAAGCACATGAACGGAGGGTGAGCAAAACAATGCAATGCAATGCAAAACCACTGCCACGATGCCACGTCTTACCAACCATCATCCTCTTCACTTTCCAGGCAAATCCCAGGCGTGGCCTTTGGCAGCGTGAAGCAGAAACTGCGCACAGTGCTGTCGCGAACGGATCTGCATAGCGGCGACTTCCGGCAGACGTCGACCACGAGCACCACCATGGCCACACCGCTGCAGATCTACCTGCAGATTCAGCTGGCGCAGTGCATCAGCCTGCAGAGACTGCCGCAGATCTCGCATGTGGCCGAGGCGCTGCGCTGCCTGGCCCAACTGGAGCGGCCGCAGCACGGCCAGCTGCTGGCCGAACTGCAGCGGGACCTGGAGCGACGGCAGAGCTACCTGCAGTACCTGATGCGCCACCGGCAACAGCTGCTGCTCCGTGCGGAGCAACTGGAGCAACTGGAGGCGCGATTGCGTGGCGAGTCGCGCAGCAGCCAGCGCTGCTTGCTGCAGGCTCTGGTCCGCATGTATCTGGCCTGGACCCGTCAGCAGGAGAAGCTGGACCACTTCCAGACGGAGTTCGGCCAGCTGCGGGCCAGCGATGAGCGCGTCGAGCTGACCGAGGAGTTTGTGGAGTCGCTGCTGAAGGAGCTGCGCACCAGTGCCGACCTGCAGGACGAGTGGCAGGTGGACGCGGCACGCGTGGCCATCGAACGCATGCTGCTGGAGCAGATGTACGAGCAGGTGATGTTCCCCAACGAGGATGCCGATGTCTCGCGCGACGCCGTCCTCTCCGCCCACATTGGCAAGCTGCAGCGGTTCGTCCATCCCGCCCATCCGGCCCTCTGCATTGCCCAGGAGTATCTGGGCGAGGCTCCATGGACGTTTGCCCAGCAGCAGTTGTGCCACATGGCCGCCTACAAGACGCCGCGCGAGAAGCTGCAGTGCATCATCAAGTGAGTAGTTGTCTTCACCACTTGTGTAACTATATATATATATAAGCAAATAGATCTACTAAATAGTGTAAGTGGTAAACTCGCTCACTTTGGTGAACAAGTTCAGTTACTCAGTTGTTGAGTTGTTTAGTTACTCAACAACAACATAAATAAAATTATTACTTTCCTTACAAAAACAAATCTAATACATAAAATTTAAATTATTCAAAACAAGAACAAATCTCATTAATGAAATGTAAACTATTCTAATCAAACAATGCCACCAGTTAGTTTAGTTTTAGTTGTAACTATAAGTAAGCTTTATATAAATAAATAAATATATATTTAACCATTTCCATTACAGCTGCATTTCGAGCATCATGAGCCTGCTGCGAATGTCCAGTGGTCGTGTGCCCGCTGCGGATGATCTGCTGCCCGTGCTCATATACGTAGTGATAATGGTGAGTCCGAATCCTGAATATCATTCCAATTAACCATATGATAAACCATATCTTAACCGTATGTTTCACAGGCCAATCCCCCCTACCTGCTGTCCACCGTGGAGTATATCAGCTGCTTTCTGGGCAAGAAGCTGGAGGGCGAGGACGAGTTCTATTGGACGCTGTTCGGGTCCGTGGTGAAGTTCATCAAGACCATGGACTATCTGGACTAGCGTTGTTGGTTGAGGGCTTAGGTGGCTGTATCTGTAGATTTGTTTTAGCGCTTTGTTGTTCTATGCATTACACCTATCCCACTACCAATCGATATTTTCTATATTTATATCTGTATATCTGTATAGCTGTGTCTGATAATTGTGTAAAAATTTGTTAAACCCTAGGCTACTATATGTAATCCAATAACATCTGTGTATATGGCACTACGCGATCCGAGGCGGCAATCGATGGGAAATGCCAATGCTGAAGAAGATATCTTGTTTTAGGTTAACACTGAATGCTAGGAGGCCTCGCCTTATGGATATCCATGATATATGATATATATATAGTGAACTAGAGAACATATTCTTCTATTTATATATACACGTACATAGATATATATATATATATATATATGTATATGCATGTTTATCGGATCGGTCTAGCCACTGTCATAAGTATGTTTCGGAAACGAACTGCAACTTAATATTCCTTATTGTGTAACACAAAATATAAAATACAAAAAAAAAACCAATATAATTTCAAATTGTTTGTGTTCTTATGTTACCTTTCGGAAATACCAGACATTAAACCAAAACCAAAACAAAAACTTTGTGAACATTTACATTAGCTTTGTATATATTCTTCGGGGTTTGTTCAACTTTCTGTTCACTTTTCGCCCGTCGTTTAATATTACAATTTGACTTTCGTTCGTAAGGTATATAATGCTATAAACAACCAAAAATTAAGGATCGTTAAACTAAAACCAGTATAACTAAAAACGTTTCACGTAATACTTTCGATTGAGAGATTATTGCACAGTAATTGCATTGCGAGCAACCAAGGAGAAGCTCTAAGCGATATAAAATCGTACTAATACAAGGCCTCAATAAATTAAATATTAATAGATAACGGAACCAAACTCAGTTAATACGTAACTAAAATTAGACTTGTAAATGTGCGCCGTTGCTCGAATTGAATGTCTTGAGTACAAAGTTGCCGCGTCGCCAAAATCACTTAACGTCGTCTTTGACTAACAAGCGTGAAAGTATGTATATATCATTAATAGATAGTGACTAAACATGTACACGGAGGGGGCATCAGCAGAAGCGTCTTAATTAAAATTTGATCGATTTGGGGGGGGGCACCGCCTTCTCGTTCTGGCTAAGCTCTAAGCCATCAGTAGCTCCTCGTGCAGGCCATCGGCATCCAGGGATTTGTTCGACTTGAACATGAAGTTGTTGTCGCTGGAGCCCTGCGACTTCGAACTGGAGGTCATGTTGTACAGATCATCGAGATCCTGACTGCGTCGATAGCTGTACGAAGGGATTGATCACATGTAGTCGCCATTTAAAGTAAGATTCGGTGTGGAACTCACGTGCTAAGTGGCCTGCTGTAGGTGGACATGGCCGGACTGGCCGGATTGTTGTTGCTATGGTTGCTGTTGCTGTTGCTGTCATTGTCGGCATTGTCGTGGTTGTAGAGATCGGAGTTGTCCAAGTACTCGGAGCGCAGGTACGTGTCCAGATCGTTGTCGCACTCGTCCTCCTGGTCGGCGTAGTCCTGCTCATTGTCCTGATCCTGTTGCGACTCCACCATGCACAGCCACTGCGAGTTGTGGTTGCGGAACTTCTCCAGCTGTCAAAACGAATAATTTAGATTGGATTGGATTGGATTGTAATTGTATGTAATACAACAGGTTTGAACAGCCAATGGCCATATGCTGCTGTGTTTATACGATTGCCATTTCATGAAATGGGGAAATTCGTGTGTGTATAAACACTATGAATTCAAAACAAATGCATGAGACTTCATTTTACACTTCATGCATTGATTTCATCTATTCAGGAACTTATGAAATTCATAGCACAAATCCAGTAATGGACAACCAACCCACCTTGATGCGCTTGGCCCACTCGCTGTCACTGATGGCGATGATGTCCAAGCAATAGTCGCACACCTTGCGGATCTCCTCGTTCTTGTCGTGCATCAGATCGATGAGATAGGCCGGCGATTCGGTCTCCTTGATCATGTACTCCCTGGTGCTCTCGTGGCGCAGGATCTGCTGGAACACAAAGATGATCTGCAGCACGATCTCGTCGTCCTCCTGCTTGGCCTTGAGCAGTTCGATCAGCGATATGACCACTTTGGCGCGACAGAAGAGCAGGGCGCATAGCTCGTCGCAGGCACAGGTGCCCAAGTAGACGATGGTGTCCAGCACAAGATCATCGATGCGGGCGCAGGGCACCAGGAGCTGCCTGATCCAGGGAATCAGCTGGAAGTTCTGCAGGATCTGCGAGTAATCCAGGTCGGTGAGGGCCAGGTTACCCAGAATGCCCAGGCACTCCACAATGAAGGCCTCGTCATCGCAGATGGTCAGAATGCGCGCCAGATCGCCCACATAGTCGATGAACTGCAGCTGCAGCGATTCGTGCTGCGACAGATTGCGCAGCAGCTTCATCAGCAACGCATCCTGGTACTTGAAGGCCCGATCCATTAGGCTGTGCAAACGCTGGCCATCCACCATGATCTGGGCATTGCGGCGATTCAGCGAGAGATTAATGCACAGGGCAATGAGATCCAGATCGACTTTAACATTTAGGTTGAGAATGATGGCATCCGTGGCCATTTGCACGCACTCCGTTTGCGTGAACATGCCCTTGACCTTGTCATCCAGGCTCATGTGATAGAGGATTTTGACGGCAATGCCGTGATGCTTCTCATCGTTGATGAACATCACCAGCATGGGCAGATAGCCGGCGGAGATCATCTTGCGACGCAGTCCGCCGTCGAAGGAGAGATTGAAGACCAGCTTCAAGGTGACCTGGACCAGATCGGTGTGCGTGCTCTGGAACAATCGTGGCAGCTTGCCAACGATATTCAGGGCGGCCATCTCGTCCTTGTTGTCGCCCACTATCGACAGCTTCTTGAGGAACGTGCTGACGAGCATCAGCAGATCGATATTCTGGCGATCCAGCGCCTTGACCAGCATCTTGACAATGTGCTTGCGACGCATCTTCTCCTCCAGCTTCACATTCTCGGCCATGTTCAGCAGCAGATAGAAGGCCACGCGCAGCAGCTGCTCCTGTTTCTTGGCAAAGATCTTCAGCTGCTTGTTCAGCCGATCGATCTCCTCCTTCTTGACCTTGGGATCGTTCCTGTCCAGCGACTCGTTGCTCTGGGCCTTGATTTCGGCGTTCACGGTCGGCGGATCGCCGGCTGGTGAGCCGCCCGCGCACAGGGCCTCATGGTAGCTACTGTTCAGGATCTGGCTCTTGATCAGCGACGACGACATGGAGCCATGGAAGCTGCTCCAGTTGCCCGACTTGGGCCGCTGCTTTAGCTCCGGAATGCGACGGCGCGGCGGCTCCATCTGCAAGTACGTTATTGATTTTGTATTTCATTCACAACTAAACCAGATCAAATACCTCCTTGGGCTTCTCCTCGTTCATGATGTCCAGGAAGTCGTCGGTGCTGCGGTTCAGTTTCTCCTTGCTCGCCTTCGCCGAGTGTGGAGTGGAGGATCCATTGGGCTGCTTGCGCACGTCCAGCTCATTTCGCATCGTCTCGTAGCGACGCAGCTCGTAGTCGATCACATCCATGCACAGCGATCCAATCTAAAAAAACAGATGAAAAGGCATACAAATTAGCTGAATTTGAAATATTTTAATGCAGAACTATTTCTTAGTCATTAAAACTATTTGTTTAATGCATCTGGATTTGATATTCATTAAATTAATCACGTTCTAAAGGCTTTAATTTTATAAAAGTTTATAATCAGAAAGTAAAGTTTATAGTAGGGAAGTACAAAGTACGCTTTCTTTTCGTTTTTGTTAAAAGCTTGAGAATTTGTCACCATTATATAGTAGTATACTTTAATTTGGCTTAAGAAATTACATGTAAATCTAGTTTAATTCTTTATATTTAAAACTTAAGCCATTTTAAAAATTTGGCTAGATAACTGATATTAAGTTCATTTAATATACAATATTTTATGAAATCTATATCTACCTTGTATTGCACAATTAGTGGATGGAACTTGGTGTAGGTGGAGAAGCAGAAGAAGATGTATATTATGTTGGTGGAGAGATCCAGGGATTTGCGCCAGTCCTCGCGCAGAACACGAGACAGGGCGCTGAGGCAGGCTTCTAAAATTATTAAAAAAAAAAATAAAAATAAACCAATAACAAAGTTTGACATCAGTTTCCAATCGTTTCTCACCGTTCTTTTCCAGCTCCTCGAGATTATCCGGATTGCGTGCCATCTGTAGGATCATGGCCGAGCCTCGGATGCGTTCGCCCAGCTCCTCGTACAGCAGCTCCACATACTCATCAATATTGTTGATGGAGACGTCCGCTGTGGGCGTGGCAGCACTCAGGGCATTGGACACACCATTGCTGGCTCCCGTTGAGCCTCCTCCGCTCCCAGTGCTGCTGGTCATGGCCGCCACACTGCTGTGCGATCGGGCGGAGGAGCGGGTGTGCGAGGTGTGCAGCGCCGCCGATCGCCGGCTATGAGTGTTGTTGTCCGGAATATCTAATACAGATTTATATATGGTCAGTGAATATACAAATTGGGGTGCATTTTTTAAAAGCGATTTCCTACCATTGCTGGCATTATCTTTGCGATTCTTCAAATAAAAGATAATCTGCTCAACGTCATTCAGCTGTGATTTGTGGATGAGATCGCATTTTTCCACCACCTCGCGGGCCAGAGCAGCCGGATCCGTTTTGGCGTTCAGCGAGCGGAGTCGGATGATCTTTTGACAGTGCTGAAAGATATTGAACAAATTGAAATACATAAGTATTGATTACCTAAATAAATAGTATAATAATCCAATATTTAAAAAGTGACTGTTGCTGGATACCTCGTTTTATTACTTAATTAATTTCATATCTTCAATTCTCATTGTTTATTTTAAATCTTTTACTATTACTTTTGTAATTATTATTGATAGAAATCATTTTATTTAATTTTTTTTTGTAATTTTAAAAAAGACAATTTATTGATTTAAAATATATATATTTATAAAGTACCAGAACTTGTTTAACAAGGTGGCCTTAAAATTGAGGAAACAACTTAGGAACATTTCAGTGGTCACTTATATACACATCTACATAACCGAATCTGATTTAAAGTCAAAACTTTTTGCGGTTGCCAAGACTTTTGGCAAATAAACGACAAAAAAAGGCTTACTATTTATTTATGGTCGTGAACAACAATCGTCGAAAACGAGCGACAAAAAGGCCAGAAAACGTGAATTGAGGTTAAAGACCCGCCAACCGCTTTTGGTATCGTTACTCACTACTTACTACCCGATACTTGAGCGCGACCCGTCATCGACCCCGTTGTTACGTTATCGATTGGCCCGCTCAATGTCAGCCACTGCCCCCCGCCCCGCCCCCTTAACCCTTTTAGTGGTACACAGTGAGAAAATTAATAAAACTAATAGTTTATTATGTGTACTTAATTATTTTTCTTAAATTAATATCAGTATATTATATAAAAATTAAAAAAAATATTTTTTTTAAGTGTAGCAATAACGTA